ATACTTAATGAACTCAAAACTATATTTATTTATTTTTTCCTTAAAAAGTGAGTTTGAGGATTTGTACTTTGCAGTGAAGAGTTTAATTTTCACTTGTTCCTTGACTTTAGCCACCAATCAGATAACCTCCTTCTAGTTAAGTCTACTTGCTCTTAGTCTATTTTGCCCTCCCGGTCCCTAAACCCCAGTGCTTTGAAAAACTCTGCGCCATCATCCTGAACTATAGGGTGAAGCCCTTTACAGAACGTTATCACGTGTTCGGCAGTTTCTTCTTCCTCTCCACACGCACTGCATACTGTGTCTACCCCTTCGTATTTGGCCCGATATGTCTTGGTTCGCAGTACTCCCGTCCTTGCCTCAAACAGTAGAGAACTACCCCGAGTATTATCATAGATCCTTTCCTTGGCAATTTCCTGCTTAAAAGTTCGATAGATCTCTAGTGCGGACTTTTTAATCATGCCCATTTTCCACACATCAGTCTCCGTTTCCTTCACTTTCTTCTTAACCGATAGTTCTTTTTGGTTTGGCCACCTGCTGTTTTCTAAGTATTTACCAGTCAACTTCCTGGTTCGCTTCCTTCATTTTGTATCGACATTTTTCATGTACAAGAAGCTGAAAACCTTCCTAGCCCAACGCTCCTCCTTCATTTCTCTCAATCGCTTCTCAAATTTTATCTTGCTGCTAGCTTCCCTGCCCTCAAATGATGTCCATCCCATATCACCTTGTACTTCCTGATTTGGTGTATTCCCGTGAGCTCCTAAAGCAAGCCTACCTATTCCACGTTGCTTAATTTCTAATCTTGCTTGAACTTCTGATCTCATGCACAAGACCGCATTGCCGAACGTCAGCCCAGGAACCATAACCCCTTTCCATATTCCTCTCACAACATCATACCTATTGTAATTCCACAGTGCCCTACTTTTAATCACTGCTGCATTCCTGTTACCTTTAGTCGTCACGTATATTTCGTGTTCCATCAGGTACTCGGTCCCATTGCTTATCCATACGCCCAGATATTTGTATTTATCTGTTATCTCTAGCGTGACCTCCTGCATTCTAAGCTCACACCTTCGTTGTCATTGAAAATCATGACTGCTGATTTTTCCTTACTGAATCTGAAATCTAACCTATCTCCCATATTACCGCAGATGTCCATCAATCTCTGCAAATCTTCCTTGTTGGCCATTAGCACTATATCATCTGCGTACATTAATGCTGGTAGTGCCTGATCAATAAGTTTTCCTTGTTTGACTAAAGAGAGGTTGAAGCCCAGCCCACTTCCCTCTAATTTTGCCTTTAATCCTTGTAGGTACATCATGAATAATATGGGTGACAGGGGGCACCCCTGCCTGAGCCCCCGTTTTACCACTGCAGGCTTGGATAGCTGTTTTTCGCACTTTATAACTACCTTGTTACCTTTATAGATACCCTTCAAAAGATTGGTGACTACAAGTTCCACGCCTAGTGTGTCCAGTATTCCCCGCCATTCCTCTTGAACCACGGTATCGTACGCTCCCTTGATATCCAAGAATGCTAGCCACAGGACCTGTGTTCCTTTTCTGCTATTTCGATGCACTGCGTCAGTGAGAACAGATTGTCTTCCAACCTCCTGTGTTTCCGAAACCCATTCTGCAGTTCCCCCAGCACCCCCTCATCTTATATTCATGCCTGCAGTCTTTCCTTTATAATCTGCATCTCCAGTCTGTAGACCACTAATGTCAGTGTTATAGGACGGTAGTTGTTTATGTCAGCTTTGTCCCCCTTTCCTTTATAGATCATGCTCATCCTGCTAAGTTTCCATCCATTGGGATCTTCACCATCGATTATTATTTTGCTCGCTGCCTCTCCCAAAGCCTGCTAAGACTTCGGACCTAATGTCTTTATCAGCCTAATTGGAATGCCATCTGGGCCTGTTGATGTACTACTAGGAACCCTTTTCTCAGCCCTTTCCCACTCTCGTTGTGAAAATGGAGCCATTGCACCACTTGATTCGTCCTTGTCTGTAGTGGTGCATAAAGTACTTTGTTGAATTTTTTCTCTCACCGTTGCTCTTATCTATTCAATAGCTTCGTCCCCTTCTAGCCTGGCACCTTGGGCTGTAGTTATAAAATTCTGGTCTAGGCTCGTCTCATTTCTTAGGGAGTTTAGATGGTTCCAAAATTTCGCAGCTGCCTTTCTATCTTTTTTATGTACTTCTGCCAGCCAGTGAGCTCCCTTTCTTCTAATCTTTTCATTGATCAGAAGGGATGCAGCCCTTCTACAGCTTAGAAAGGTTTCCAATTTTCTTTCAACATCATCTGTCGGTTCACCCCGCTGCTCAGCATGTCTGTGTTCCCTAGAGGCTTCCTGACGTTTTGCTATGGCTCTCTTAACTTCCTCATCCCACCAACTTTTGGGTTTGTGTCTTTTCTTTCCGGGGTGACTTGTTACGCGTCTTAGCAAGCTCTAGCCAAAGAATCTAATTAGATTCATGTATGTCCACACTATATTCCCCATATAGAAGCACCGCATCCAGCAGACATTCCAAGAACTAAACGAGAGGTGGCACACGCACACTTTCTTACGGCTTACGCTTCGGGTCTTCTTCCCACCTTTGACCACCTCAAGTTCAATGTATATACTAGCTCACTGTACTCATGGCACTGCGGCTCAACTCTCGCTAAACCTTTCTAAATCTAAGGAGGTTACACCCAGCGAGTATAACGTAGCAACTCTTTCTTGTCAGATAGTACTCAATGTACATGCCAATGGCTGCTGATGGGGATCACAGCGTGCGTGTTAACTAAAAGCCGAATGCTCCTGTCTCTTATTCCCCATTAGCAGCCATGGGCATGTACATTGAGCACTATTTTTTATTGTTCAACAATGCACAGAATTTCTCACCTGCACCACCTTGAAGGTCAAAATGTTATACTTGTTACACACTACGATGGCTACGAGGGATGAACAGGTGCCGCTATAAAGAGCTTCGCCTCTAAAAAAGAAAATTGGATGAGTAAAAATCACCCCATGCCAGCGCCGACCGATTCTGCGACCCAAAAATAATGCACCTACGCTCGCCCGAACGCAACTATTTCCACTTTATGCTGTCGCTTGTGTCATTGTCTGTTCTTATCAACATTATGTGTATAACTGGAAATGAGCCCTCAAATATTCACTTCTTTTTTTCACATTAACTAAAGCTTATAAGAGACGCCACATTTATATTGCCCCGAACAATTCTGAACTATGCGTTTGGTGGCATGCCAAATGCATGATAAATAGAAGCTTTTTTTTTGCAATCAATGTTCATTGTTACGGAGCTTCTCTTTAGCAAACTTCAACATGCGAACTTTAGCATCTTGCATTGAGAATTATCACCTTATGAAGAGTGAGAATGAACTCGTACCATACATTTCCAAACACGTGGTGTAAGTTCAATATAGTGAAACAAAAATAGTTGTTAGTGTATCTTACGTCAAGAGACGCAATAAAAAAAAGGTAGTGAACACATCTAGTCGAAACCGTGTATGGCTGAGTTCTATTATATTGAACGATGTTAATGAATTAAGTTAAACTGCCCCGCCGTGGTGGTCTACAGGCTAAAGTATCCGGCTGTGAACCCGCAGGTCATGGGATTGAATCCCGGCTAGGGCGGCTGCGTTTTCAATGGATGGGGAATGCTGTAGGCTCCCGTGCTCAGATTTTGTGCGCGTAAAAAACTCCAGGCGGTGTAAATTTCTGGAACCCTCAACTACTGCGTATCTCATAATCATATGGTGGTTTAGGGACGTTTAACACCACATACCTATCGTCGACTGATGTTACATTGTCACTTTAAACATATATTCCACGTTGGTTTCACTATAGAATAGCGCGTGTGTGGAGGGAGGAGCTCTTTCCACCTTCCGCCGGTGGAAAGGGCGCGCTCATTTTTATTACTGTCATTTTGGGTTATAGTCACAACCCGCCGAAAACAGCAAATGCCCCTCGTGCTTTCCATCGCTGGAGCGTTCACTACTTTTATTGGTTCTGGCTTTCACGAGGCATAGTCACATGTCCCGCTCTGATGAAATCAGTATTTACACCGTGCCTTATAAATACTTGGAATGAAGTTTTTAGCTAACAAAACTTTGAATTGGACGAGTTGATTCATGGTCAAACTTTTGGGTTTCAGGGCTACGAAACGCACAAACAAAAAAAAAACACTTAGTATACGTAACAGATGCTGATTTACAGCTGGTTTTTTTTTTTCGCCTTCGCCAGTGAAAAAGTGTGTGTGCCATAATCAATTGAAAATGACTGTGAAAATCACGTTTATTCTGAATGAGGGCACACCGCAATAATAAATCAGTGTTACAATTTTTTGGTGCGGAAATTTACCTGCAGCATGCGTGGAGGAATGAAAGAGCACTATGAGCACAGCAGATGAGCACCTCAAAAAGACCATTTAACATAGCAAAACTAAAAGACATGAGTGACCAAGGTGCGCTAGTGAAACCGACAATTAATACGCCTTCAGATATAACCAATCTCAGCGTCTGACATAATGATGAAAGGTGTGCTAACGTTATTGTCATATTGATTTTTGAGCAATAATGGCACATATGTGTGCATTGGCGAAGTCCAATCCGTTGCACATCAGCATCCGTTGCATCCACTATGCGTTTCACGTCCGTGCGTTTCCCAGCGCTGCATCCTCAAAAGTTCGAATTTTTTTTATCATCGGTTTCAGTTGACTCTATTTGTTTAAGGATGTTCAATTCAGAAAACTATACAGAATATAAAAAAGACAGCACTCGGTCACTGCAAAACACCACAGAAGCCAGTTTGAATAATAATGACACTATTTAGTATTGACGCTGCAAACATTCATTTGATAGTTATTGAGAGCTTGAAAATGGTAATAATATAGAAATATGTGTTGTCAAATTATATCTTTATAGAAGTTTAGGTGCGTGATTTTCACCAAATTAGGATAAATAGAGGGCTAATTTATAATAAACACATGAAGGCCTCACTAGGTAGTGCATGTATATTGAAAATAAGTTGCGAAATTGAATGTACATATAGCACTCATGCCCAAATATCCAAAACATTGCACACCACGAAGCAGTCGTCGACTACTTGAGGTACAGCGCGTGTCTTTTGGTGCAATAAATGGTTGCCTTTAAAAGGCATTCGCCATAGATAGCCACTTCGCGTTATTAGAATAAAGCTGAATATCGGGTGACGTCACTGGAAAATTGTGCGGGGTCAAAAATGTCCAGTACATTCACTTCCGTCAAGGAAATGGTCCTCCGTAGAGCCTCGTCATCAGAGACTGCACGGCTGTCAGTATCTCGAACTTGCCAAAATGAACAGTCTGGCCTCGGTAGGTGAAATTCCGCTCTACATTGTCATCCGACAAGTCATCGAGGACGACGCACTTGTCTTTTCCGTAAGCACTGAGCATCTGGTTAAGCTGCAGGAGAATGTAGCGCCATAAGATGGTAATGAAAGCCACTTCACACCACTGAAGCGATTTCAAGCAACAAAAAGATTCTTTTTTCACAACTAGAATCAGTAAAAGTAGGAGCGAAAAGTTTTCTTCTCAGACAGCTCTCTTTTAAACAAGCAATATTATTTACCCTAAACATCTTTTGGACGCTAAGCGTGTTAAACTACCGCGTTGGTGGCCTATTTATTACGGTGCTCGACATCCGATTCGCAACTCCCGGGATTGAGTTTCGGCAGCGGGGGCTGCATTATTATTGCAAGTCAAAATGCTTGAAGCCCTTATGCTTATATTTCGGCGCATGTTAAGAAACCACAGGTGGCAAAAATTTCTCCAGCCCTCCTTCCACGTAACAGTAATAACCCCATCCTTGTGGTGGGACGCTGAACGCCATCAATTATATTTATTAGTAAAAAGCATGCTATATTGAGCTGAACGACGCATTTCGCGCGGTTTCAAAGTAACAGTTGTGCCTTAGCAAAAAACCCTCTACCAAAACGAAGATCAGAAAATATAGGGGTGAGAAATTTTTAAATGCCAAGCATTTCTTAGCGAACTTCAGCGACTTCGAGTGTATCTATCTATCTATCTATCTATCTATCTATCTATCTATCTATCTATCTATCTATCTATCTATCTATCTATCTATCTATCTATCTATCTATCTATCTATCTATCTATCTATCTATCTATCTATCTGTAATATCTATCTATCTATAATATCTATCTATCAAAAGAAAGATCTTTTGAGCACTAAGGATGCTGTATTTGGCTTAATGATGAATACTTGGCGGCTTTAGAGTAATAGTGGTGTCTTTACAATATGTCTTAGCCTTGAGGCAATTTCAAGCAAATAAAAGATCAGATTTCATTACCAGAAACATTAAAGATAGGTATGTGAAGATCGCTTGTTTTATAATGCAGTTGTCGTTTGAAAAAAGCACTATTATTCACCTTAAATATGATTTGAGCGTAAACAGTGTTACATTAGGCTGACGGATGAATACTGGTTGGTTTTAAAATAACAGTGGCGTCCCTAGAATATCTATGGGCCTACAATACGTGCAGGCATATGCGGCGATTGTGCATTGCCTGATTAAGCAGTACTACTTGATCTCCAGCAGCACTGTATAATCATTCATAATATGGCTACATATGCTAAAAGGTCGACATGTGTTTGTATGAAGCAAGCATTCTCTCCAGTCTGTCGTTTACTACAATATGACTGTGTGCAGGATAAACATACGTGTGTTTGCGTGTGTTCGCATGCGCGCGTGCGCGCGTGCGTGTGTGTGTGTGTGTGTGTGTGCGTGTGCGTGTGCATGTGTGCATGTGCGTGTGTTTGTGTGTGTCACATTCTTTCCTTCAAAGTTCATGCGATGGTATTGTTCTGCCTGTTGGACTTTAAGTTCTTGTTTTTCCGTTATGACGGTGTTTAGACATTTGGCAAGCCCCCATGATATCGACGTATTGTGCTAATAAAGACAACAGTACCTTAACATGTTATGAATTGTGATTATCTCCAGCAACCACTGACAATAGAGTTGGCAAATATGTCATTCCAAGCATTTTCGAAATGTGTCGTTCGCTCTATTGCGTGCAATGCAAAAAAAACAGAGCAAATAAAGCAACGTTATTATTCGTCACCTTATGGTTGGCTCAACTTTATGGTTTACGAGGAGGAATGGACTATTTCTATCCGTTAGGATGTCCTTTATATAGAACGAAGACCGCTCAATGGCCACAAGGTTAGCGCTAAAAGATCATTCTTTTTTTTTTGTTAGCTCATCTGCTTTACTTAAGCACTTATATCACTGCCGAGTCCAAGAAAATATTTATCAATGCTACCTCTCGACTCCTTGCCCCCTGGAAACGCCACTTCTGCCGACGATTAATTCATACACAGTTTCCCCGACAACCTTGGTAAAGACGCTTGTAATACTCACGCATTCAAAAACGTCTACTTCGGAGGTGGAGTGTGCGACATACCTTGTACGATAGCGTGGGACCAGTGTCGTATGCGAAGAGGGTTAACAAGTCGCCGTTGCGAATGTAACGCCAGAAATGGGAGTACGTTGTGTTGTCAAAGTGGTAGATCGTCTGCAGGTCTTCTACCGGGTACTTGTTATTGCTGCCCCGGGTTGTGAACTGCAGATATTATTGCAGCACAGACAAAAACAAATGAAACAAGTGCAGTGCGCACAATGCAAGCGCAATGCATATGCCAGAAAATGTTCTTGGAGAGGCACATTGGCATGCACGCCACCAACATAAAAACGGAGCAGAGACTAGGCTGAAGGAACTTGGGCGACTTTGCATCTATCTATCTATCTATCTATCTATCTATCTATCTATCTATCTATCTATCTATCTATCTATCTATCTATCTATCTATCTATCTATCTATCTATCTATCTATCTATCTATCTATCTATCTATCTATCTATCTATCTAATCTCTCCCAGCCGTTTCGTTATGGTATCGATACCAAACCTGGTATGGCACAACATGACTAGATGAATAACATATTTGACATAGTCATACCATGAAAATCATGACATAGATGTCATTAATGTCATGATTTACATTCATGGTCCTGCAGCTCTTGCGGTGGTTTCGTTCTCATGGCATGTTGCAAAACTGGTATGGTATTGCATGATTACATGGCGAACACAAGCGACAGACTCCTAACATGAAAGTCATGACATGCATGTCATGTAACGTCATGACTACACGCCAAGCTCCTGATGCGCTCGTGGCCATTTCGCTGGCGTCACATACACCAAATTCAGGTATTACGTTACGTGAATGGATGACCAAGGTATGTGACTGGTGCAAACATGATAGTCATGAGGTGCGAGTCGTATAGCAACATGACGACATGCCACGCTTATGATGCGCTGGTGGCCATGTCGCTAGCTTCGCTTATACCGAATTCGGTATTACAGGACGTGATTGGCTGATGAAGGTATTATACTGATGCAAACATGATAAACATGAGATGCGTGTCATGTAGCAACATGACTAGAAGCTACACACATGATGCGCTCAGGGCCTATCTGATAGCATCATATGTACCAAACTCGGTATTACACGACGCAAATGACGACATAGGCAAATTACACATACAAACATGATAATCGTGACAGGTGTGTTATGTAACAGCATGACTACATGCCACACTCGTGATGCGCTCGCGGCCGTTTCGTTAGCTTCAGATGTGCCAAATTTGGTATTACGTGACATCAAAGGATGACAAAGTATGTGACTAGTGCTAACATGATACTCTTGAGATTCGTGTCATGTCAGAACATGTCTACATGCCGCAGTCAAGGCGCCAATACATTTCGACGTTACGTGGTGCGCGTGCTCACCGACGTTCATTTCGTCGGCTCACGCCAGCGTTGCCACGCGGGGCACTGGTCCTGCCATATACTCGCAGGTGCCTGCCGCACTGCGTTGCTTTGACGCATGCGCGTTCCAGCGCGTCCGGCATTCCCTCCGTCACGACAAGAGAGAGACGCAGTGTTGTCTGTGTAACTCTTTCGAAATGCATCACGAAAAGAGGGAGTCGCAGTGTTGTCTGTGTAATCGGTGCGAAATGCAGCATGTCGCATTTCGCACCTGTTGGTGTCGGGCAGCGCCGACAGATCCTGGTCACGCCTGGCGTCAGACTATAGAGTGCTCGCGTTTTGCTAATGTAGCGTCGCTGTGAACAGCGTGGGCACGCGTCAATGCTACATTGCAGTATATTGGGCCCTTCATGATGCGCTCGCAGCCGTTTGGCTAGCTCCACATATATCAAATTTTGTGGTACGTGATGCCAACGAATGACAAAAGTACATGACTGATTCAAACATGATAATCCTTACATGTGTGTCATGTAAGTACATGACAACATACCACGTTCATAGCATGCTCGCGGTCGCTTGGCTAGCTTCATATATACTAAATTTGGTATCACGTGGCATTAATAGATGACGAAGGTAAATCAATTCATCCATACATGATAATCACGACACGAAAGTCATGCAGGGCAACATTTCATCTCCACCTCGTAACGTTGTGCTGATTTTAAAGTGGCATATCAACCTTCGTTATTTGTGCTTTGCATATCATCGATTCCCACTGTACGTGGGATCTGCTAATTTTTTTATTGTATTCGTGTTGCTTCCATCGAAGCGGCGAATTGAATGTACTACCCGTAATGTGGAATCACATTGGCAACATTGGCAAAAAACTCGGCCATACACTGTATTGACTCAATGAGTGCATTTAAATATGCCCATGGTGCTTAGCCTAGCATACATTGACCATCTAAAGCCTAATTCTCAATACGGGGTTGGGAAAACAGTAACCTTAGCGTGGGCAGCACTGATGAAGGTACGATGAAGGTTGCTCTGCTGTTGAAACAAGATAGAGGCTGAGTAGATTGATCAAATAAATTAGGTAGCACCGACAAGCCTACCTGTCTGCGTGTGGATCCAGCGAAAACTCATCATTACCTATATAGGTGACTTGAAAATTACATAATGCTTCTCACGCTCTTAATACCAGCCATGTTAACTTTAGTTTTAGTAGATTTCAAGAGAACATGGGTTCAAGAAATAACCATTTTGCCTCCCTTCTTTTGTTTTTTTTTGGAAGTGGTACAATGGCTTGAGATACCCCAGACCCCGTGCCTCTCATTCCACTGCACAGACGACACCAGCTCGATGCTATCTTTGAGCACTCTCTGCGCACACAATCCATGATGCTCTTCACAGTTCAACTGCCAGTGCTGTTTGTATAAGTAATAACATTTCACATCAGCCATTAGTTTAGCGTAATTACCCAACGTTTTAAATAACTCAGCAAACACTAGCATGCTAATGAATATTAGCCACTGCTAAGTCAGCGATAGTGGTGTCGCTAGCTATTATTAATGAAACACAACACAAAATGAATATGAGAATTTGTATTGTTCATTTTAAATAACTTTGGTTTGCACTACCTTTGATCAGGAGCAATCGATATTCGGCTCTAAACTAGAGAAAAACAAAGGTCGAATGTGCGTCAACTTCTAGGTCAGCCCAGATGCCTTAATAATTTTCACGGAAAATGATATTAACCACATGGTGTACATTTGTAAAAATATATAGCCCACAGATATAAAGCATTACAAAAGATGTGTGAGGTGGGAGGCAATTCTGCACAAGCGAGACTGAGAGCAAGGACGCATTCATTCATGGAGCTAGGTTGCAGCCACTTTTCGTGAATTTATCATTGGACTAGCTCTCCCGGCCAAAAGGAAAAAAAAACTCCTGTTTTAGAGAGCGTGTAAACAAGAAACGTCAATATAATTACCTTGGTTGATACATTCATGCAGCGAACATCATTATTAAAACAACACAGATTGGTGAGCTTTATGTATATTAGCCAGGCCACGGTGGTGTAGTGGCTAAGGTACTCGGCTGCTGACCCGCAGGTTAAACCCCACATATCAATCAATTTATGTATACATTGAGCAACACTTACCCTAAGCCGTCCGAATCGTTGCACGTCCGGATCGTTGTGAACTTCGCTCACGAAGTCGATGGGATCGGCGCTGCTGCGCATGTAGTTGATGGACGTTGTGAGGGAGAAGCACAGAGATTGGCGGTTCAAAACCTGCTTCCAGCGCGGGAATTCCCCCAGTATGTCCAGCTTTGAAAGATAAAGTAAGAGACGACGGGACGTTAGCTAAAGTATTTAAGGCCTGGGTGTTTTGCGAAGATAGCAGACACTTTGCTCCGTGTGTACGCCACCAGTATTCAGCATCCCCCCCACCCCCTCTGACATTCGCTATTGAACACACTGTTCGCAGTCATCATGATGATGATTATAACAGCTGTACGAGTGAGTTTAGAGATATGGGAGCAAATTATTGCGGCTTAGCCGGTGTCGCTTTACAAGGCGTTAATGTATCTATTGCAAGCTTCTATAAATTATCGTACGCACAGTATTACGTGAGTGACATGGGTGCCGCCAGCTTTGCCCGTCGTACGAATTTTTTGCGATTTGTGTACACAGCGAAGTGGATTGATAAGGTCATTATAACGTCTAGTGCATCAGCATAACCGTTTTCATGCGTGGACGTCCAGAGAATAATTATCAACCGTTTGCTTATAGATACACAACGGCCACGTTAACTGGCCAATATGATTGCTCGATTGATATGAGGGGTTTAATGTCCCAAAACCACCATATGATTATGAGAGACGCCGTAGTGGAGGGCTCCGGAAATTTCGACCACCTGGGGTTCTTTAACTTGCACCCAAATCTGAGAATATGATCGCTCCGAAACCGTTCGTAAGCGGGTCTAAAATGAAAGTTTTTATATCACCATAACACATTTAGCTTGAAATTTTAACAATGTCTGCGTTCATGCCGACCTCGACTCTGATATCTGTTGCGTTTTCAGCTGTGCCCTTTGAACACTAAGCGCTTTCGTACCCTGGAAGACGCATGAGTGGACCCTTTTATATAGCAATTGATTAATTGATTGATATATGTGGTTTAGCGTCCGAAAGTCACCATACTATGAGAGACGCCGTAGTGGAGGGCTCCAAAAATTTCGACCTTCTGGGGTTCTTTAATGTGAGACCAAATATTAGCACATGGCGCTACAACATTTCCGCCTCCATTGAAAATGTAGCCGCCGCAGCTGGGATTCGATCCCGCGGCCAGCGGGTCAGGAGCCGAGTACCTTGGCCACTATACCTCCGTGGCGGGGCTTTACATAGAAAGTAAACTTGCAATGTTGGTTTGTTGGTACGGCATATTTGAATAATAAAGGTAGCACAATGTAACAGGGCACACACAAAACACAGAGAAACACATGCATTGCTACACTTCCAACAAATGGTTTATATCTGAGACCCTACGTTTATTTTATACACTTTTATGCACACAGCTGCAACTAACACGTTTGAGAGCACAAGCAATTTCGCAACATTGCATGATTTTTATATTCTTGTGCCGATAATCACGGAAATGAACCCCATCGCACAATATAAGACAAAATTAATTTGCGCACCTTCCAGCTTACGCGCATGTACTGTAAATCCTTTTTTAGGAGCGCAATGTAGACGGACTGCTGGCACAAGCACTACCATATACCAGCCAAATGTATCCATTCAGCTTCTGCAATAGGGCGTGTCACTTAACACACACTCCTACATACGATGGCAGTATCCTGAAAGCATGAGTTGCACCTGCATATTTCGCCATGCAAGGATAGGAAGCCATCTGACAGTATCTTGTTCACTTTGTTGCTGTGATCAGATACGTGAATTGTTGTACCAGTGTTGTATACCAGGTTCTGTTAAATTGAAGAAACAGCTATTTAGAACAGATGAAGAGGTATATTAACGACATGTTCACTGTGTTGCTAAGCGTAAACATAGCAACACAGTGAACAGAATTTGGAGAGATGGACCGAACGAGCCAACAAAATCGATCCCTGTGGACTCGTGCACAACTGCAACGCCGCAACCACATTAAATCTGGGTTGTGAGGGGCCCTTTGCTGACTGCAACCAAAGAATCTTTATTTGCAATTCTAACATGCAAGAAAGAACTGAGGATTCGTTTCAGTAAAGAAAATCACAACACAAGTGCCAAAAAACGCGACGGATGACCACATAACTGTGAATAATAGGAACGCCTTTGCATGTCCTTTCCGGTAAAGAACCCATTGCAATTGATTTGCACTTGACATGAGGGTTTGGAATGACTTCAAACGGTCTTTTCTTTTCTCCTTGGCTATTTAGCGGCGAAGCTCCTCATAGCGGCACCTGTTCGTCCCTCATAGCTGTTGTAGTGTGTAACAAGTATAACATTTTGACCTCCAATGTGGTGCCAGTGACACAATTATTCTGTGCAGTTGTTGAACAATAAAAAATATTGCTCAATGTACATAATAATGGCTGCTAATAGGGAATGGGAGAGAGGAGCATTGAGCTTTTAGTTAACGCGCACGTTGCGATCCCCATTAGCAGCTATTGGCATGTACATTGCGCACTATCTGACAAGAAAGGATTGCTACGTTATACTCGTTGGGTGTAACCTCCTTAGTTTTAGAAAGGTTTAGCGAGCGTTGAGCCACAGTGCCATGAATACAATGAACTAGTATATAACATGAATGAACTCGAGTTGGTTAAAGGTGGGAAGTAGATACGAAGCGCAAGCCGTAAGAAAGTAAAATCCAAATTCTGCTATCTCTCATTACCCATTAGCAGCCATTGGCATGTACATTGAGCACTATCTGACAGGAAAAGGTTGCCACGTTATACTCGCTGGGCAAAACCTTTTTGGTTTTAGAAAGGTTTAGCGAACGTTGGGCCGCAGTGTCATGAATACAGTGAACTAGTATCTACCATGAACTCGAGGTGGTTAAAGGTGGGACGTAGACCTGAAGCGCAAGCCGTAAGAAAGTGTGTGTGTGCCACCTCTCGTTTAGTCCACGAAATGTCCGCTGGATGGAGGTGCTTCTATATGGGGAGTATATGATGAAAAGATGGGAGTAGGTGGTACTTGGAGGGTTGAACAGATGGATGAACAGACACACTAACAGATGCATGGATGGACGCATGAACGGACGCAGGGGCGGATGCATGAACGAACGCAAGGACGGATGCAATAACAGACGCACGCACGGAAGGGCGGATGGAAGCATGGATGGTCACACAGACGGACGCATGGACGGGCGGAAGCCAGAACGAATGGACGGGCGAATGCTTCACCCCACTCTCCATCATTCACTCCGTGGATATGCTGCCAATGTTTAGGGGCGAAGCTCCTTATAGCGGCACCCATTGGTCCCGCGTAGTATGTAAGATCCAGAGTTTCACGAAGTCGGGCAAACCTCGGCCTAGCCTGCATAGCGCCCCTGCTACAGCTAGCAAAACACTACACAAACCGGTGCATTTCCAATGGAGGCGGAATTGTTATGGCCCCGAGTGCTCAGATTTTGGTGCTCGGTAAAGAACCCCAGGTGGTCGAAATTTCCGGAGCTCTTCTCTACAGTGTCTCTCATAAACATATGGCAGTTTGTGACGTTAAACCCCACACATCAATCAATCATAATATTAATCATCATCATCAGCCTGACTACGTCCACTGCAGGACAAAGGTCTCTCCCATGTTCCGCCAGTTAACCCGGTCCTGTGCTTGCTGCTGCCAATTTATACCCGCAAACTTCTTAATCTCATCTGCCCACCTAACCTTCTGTCTCCCCCTAACCCGCTTCCCTTCTCTGGGAATCCAGTTAGTTACCCTTAATGACCAGCGGTTATCCTGTCTACGCGCTAAATGCCCGGCCCATGTCCATTTCATCTTCTTTATTTCAACTATGATATCCTTAACCCCCGTTTGTCCCTTGATCCACTCTGCTCTCTTCTTGTCTCTTAAGGTTACACCTACCTTTTTTTTTTCCATTGCTCGCTGCGTCGTCCTCAAGTTAAGCTGAACCCTCTTTGTAAGTCTCCAGGTATATGCTCCGTAGCTAAGTACCGGCAAGATACAGCTGTTATGTACCTTCCTCTTGAGGGATAGTGGCAATCTACCTGTCATAATTTGAGAGTGCTTGCCGAATGTACTCCACCCCATTCTTATTCTTCTAGTTACTTCAATCCCGTGGTTAGGCTCTGCGGTGATTACCTGCCCTAAGTAGACATAGTCTTTTACAACTTCAAGTGCACTATTACCTATCTCGAAGCGCTGCTCCTTTCCGAGGTTGCAATCAATCATCAATCACTACACAATCCACGGATAGAGTCAACAGCGAGCAACGAAGAACTTGCACGTGCTTATCCTGAAACGCCGACTGCATGTCACAGCGTTCATGTACGACGGGAACCGCGTGTCGCTGGTACACAAGTGAGCGTTTTTTTGGCGTGCATTTGGGAATGTTCCCGCGCACTTGCGTGACGCAGACAGCGTCCTCTTCGATGAGCACCACTTGAGAGAGCTCAGCTGATGGGCGTCTCTTGCACTGTCAGTCCCAAGTCCTGGCAGGGTTTACTTCTGCACTCAGTGAAAGGACAAACAAATCAAAGATGATGCCTCTGGTTTCAAAACACTGCCCAGCTTAGTAGAGCATCCTTGACGCGATGACTGGTTTCATCGTAACCAACGAAATGCAGTGCGTTGAGGGGTGTACTTGACTTTATTAAGTGTGAATACACTTTATAAGCGACCCCAAACCATCCACCACCGTCGGCGGCGTCCGCAGTCTTCTCTCTATCTTTAAAAAAAAGAGGACTTGGCGGGCCGCAGCGCGACGCTCTACCGAATAAGCCACGTACGCGACGCTGATATCGGTGTCAGTAACGCGCCTTATACCCCTCCCCCTTCGCTCGCTCCTCCGCTCTCCTCGCTCGCTGCAGCTGCGCGCGCACCCCTCTCTCTCTCGCGCCCGCCTTCTCTCTCAGTCTCCCGTCGAGAGCGGGTCGTGCGATGGATGTCCCGGAGGCAACGCTACCATCGAATGCAGTACTACGTACTACGAATGCAGTACAACAGAATGCCAGCACTGCACCCGTCGTTGGAGGTGACGGTACCGCGGTGGTTTCGCCGACGTTGAAAGACAAGGCGGCGCTGCGAAGGGCTCGTGAGACCGAACGTAAGCGGGCGAAGCGTGCAGCGGATGCCGAACTGCGTGCCCGCGAGGCCGAGTGCAAGCGGGCGAAGCGTGCAGCGGATGCCGAACTGCGTGCTCGCGAGGCCGAGGACAAGCGGGCGAAGCGTGCAGCAGATGGTGAACGGCGCGCTCGTGAGGCCAAGATGAGGCGTCAGCATTGATCCGCGAACGCGGCCCAAGAAGCGGAACGACAACGCAAGTGTCAGGCGGAGAAGGGCGATGAAGGCCGGCGTCAAGACGCCGCTTGCAATCGTCAACGGCGAGTGGACGTTCCCGAAGCCGTTCGAGCCAGAGAACGTGCCGCGCGGAAGAGGGTGCGAGCCCTGGACTTTGCTCATCCGGACGCGTCGTGAAGTGTAAATAAATTATACTTCGTATGTAATGTATCTGTGTACAAATCCTTTATGGCAAACAACACTTAAATTCATTAGTTACGCTTTATCATCATCATCAGTAATAAAACTCCCAAGCATTTTTCGAGGGTTAACATGGTTAAGTGCGAATGCACGGGGTGATGCTATGAGGGGGAGTAAAGTTAAAATCCGTTGGCATTCGCCAGTGAGTTAACGTAAACTCCCCCGTGTGATCAAATTGCGATTCCCAGGAATCATTACACCATAAAGGCACCATAGTGTGAATAATAAATATAATAGTGCGAATTAATAAATACCCCTCATAGTATCGCCCCGTGCATTCGCACTTAACCATGTTCACCCTCGGGGAAATGCTTGGGAGTTTTTTTAAGTGAACATTTCTTAGCGAACTTCGGCGACTTTGAGCGTATCAATCTATCTATCTATCTAGCCGTCTACGACATTTATATCTCCTTGCCGTTTCAGTAATGGTCTCAATAGTAAACTTTTTATGGCATACCATGACTGCATGAAGAACATATTTGACTATTCATAAGATGAAAATGATGTTATGGATGGCATGAATGTCATGATTTAGATTTCATGGTCCTGCAGCTCTTGTGGTGATTACGTTCACATGGCATGTTGCAAAACTGGTATGGTATGACACGATTTGCATGACAAACACAAGCGACAGACCTTAACGTGAAAATATTGACATGCGTGTCATGTGAAAACAAAACTACATGCCAAGCTCATGATGTGCTCGTGGGCGTTTCGCTGGCGTCACATATACCAAATTTGGTATATGGTACATGAATGAATGGCGAAGACATGGAAATGGTGCAAACATGATAATCATGAGATGCGTGTCATATAGCAACCTGACAACAAGCCATGCTCCCGATGCGCTGGCGGCCATTTCGCTAGCTTCACTTATACCAAATTTGGTATTTCTGTTGTACGATACTAGTTATACAGTAGGTATGATACTGGTGCAAAAATGATAAATATGAGATGCGTGTCATGTAACAACATGACTACATGCTACGCTTATGATGTGCTCGCGGCCGTTTGGATAGCTTCACATGTACCAAACTCGGTATTACGTGACGTGAACGGAGGACATAGGTAAATGACACATACAAACATGATAATCACAACATGCATGTCATGTAACAACATGACTACATGCCACACTTATGATGCATTAACTGCCGTTTAGCTAGCTTCACATATGCCAAATTCGGTATCACGTGACGTCAATGTATGGTGAAGGAATGTGACTGGTGCAAACATGATAATCATGAGATGCGTGTCATGTGGGAACATGACTACATGCCACAGTCAAGGCGCCAATACATTTCGATGTGACGCGAAGCGTGTGCTCGCCAGCGTTCACTTCGTTGCATCACGCCGGCGTTGCCACTGCAGGCGCCGGTCCTGCCATATACTCGCACGCGTGCGCCGCCCTGCGTTTGACGCATGCGTGTTTTAGCGCGTCCGGCATCCCTCCGTCACCAAAAGAGGGAGACGCAGTGTTGTCTGGGTAATGTCTCGGCGCAAAATGCAGCATGTCGCATTTCGCGCCGGTTGTCGTCGGGCGACGACTGACGCTAGTCGCGTTGATCACGCGTGGAGTCAGAATAGGGAGTTTTAGTGCTGGGTACGCATTCTCTTGGGGCCTTGCGAGCTTGGGAGCGTGCGGCGTTGCGTGCCCAACCCATACCCAACCAGAATTCCTTTTAGTTGGCACCACGGTGGCACGCACGCAAACGCAAGCCGCACGAAGGTCACACGCGCTCGCAGCGCCATAGCGTCTTGTCGCGTAAGTATTATTTAGGTATTTTTATGATTTGAAATGTTAAATTAAACATACATAGTGATCAGGACACTTTTTATTGTGTACAGTATCCTGGTATACGCAAAAAAGTGAAAAGACAAAGTTAATGTAACGGCAGTGTCGACATCTTGTGACACTTCGTGCAACCACAGTCATGAACATGTTAGCTTACGCGTAATGTTTCTAAGGTGAAAATGAATAAAATCGTTACTCATTTGTAATATTGTCGCTGCGCAGTTTTTGCACCAGATGTACCATGCACAATGTTTCTGCAATAACAAAAGTGTGGTTGTCTGTTTCACTATGACCTCGCTAGATGGCGCCACCTAGTCAGCTGGTCGGGAGATGGCAAATTTTTAGTTCTATGTTCCAGGCCATTCTAGCTGTGGAAATCTGGCTGAAACCATGTAATCGCTATAAGTGATCGCACTTTGGCTTATTTTAACTCGATGGCAAGAGTATCCGCAGTGCGGATACCGTGAATTTTCGCGAAGGTGGACCTTACAAGGCGGCCGATCCATGCTGTCCGAGATTTCGCGACTTTGTGCCATGCTATTCGTATAGTGGCTAGCCACTATAATATTTGCGCTTAAAACTTAAAAGTCAAAGTGGTGGCTCAGGCCAGCCTCAGCTTTGCTCGCCGTCAAGGTAACATGATGCGCCAGCATGTGCGCCACGGCAGCTTATCTCCGCTAGGAGGCCAGTGGTGGCAGCGTTGTTTATGGCCGCACAGACGCATCGCCCCAGCGATCTTGCGACGCATCTCTTTGGGGCTTCGCGCATGCGCAATACCGCCGCCCCATCGTCCTACGTACGCAAGCCGCCTGCGTACCCAGCACTAAAACTCCCTAATAAAGAGTGCTCGAGTTCTGCTAACGTAGCGTTGTGCCCTGCGTGCGTACGCGTCAACGCTACATTGAAGTATATCAAGCCCTTCATGATGCGCTCTCGGCCGTTTTGCTTGCTCCACATATACCAAATTTGCTGTTACGTGACGTCAATAGATGGCGAAGGGAAACGACATCAAAACACGATAATCACGACGCGGAAGTAATGCACGGCATCGTTTACCTCCACCTTGTAATGTTGCGCTGATTTTAAAGTGACATATCAACCTTTCTGATCCGTGCTTCGTATATCATCGATTCCCACTGTACGTGGGATCTGCCAATTTTTTCGCAGTATTGGCTCATTCATAAGAGGGTGTCGCCAGAGGTGGGGAAGATCCAGAGTTTCACGAAGTCGGGCAACACTCGGCCTATCCTGCATAGTGCCCCTGCTACGGCTAGCAAAACACTACACAAACCGATGCATTTCCGATGTAGTGCTGGGCAATACCCAAAGCACGTACTTTGAGGTGCCTAGACGCCTTAGGACCGTGTGCTCAGATTTTTGTGCTCGGTAAAGAACCCCAGGTGGTCAAAATTTTCTGAGCTCTTCTCTACGGTCTCTCTCATAATCATATGGCAGTTTGTGACGTTAAACCCCACGCATCAATCAATCATCAATCACTACACAAACCACGGATAGAGTCAATAGCGAGCAACGAAGAAATATAAAGATAGAAAAAGGGGAACTAAAGAGAAGAAAACCGAAAACACTGGCAAAGAGATGAAAATAGAAAAGAGATGAAAGAAAGGGAAAAATAAACTGAACCAATGAAGGCTACCTGGCTTCGCACTTCCTGAACGTTTAGCACTGCTAGGGTTAAGCTGCCAAAATTTTTTCTACTTTCACTACACCTTTCCTGTGAAAGCGCCGGGCGAGCAGGTCTTCAGTTACGACGAAAGGACGCTTTACTTACCATTCCACGGGTGCCCGGAGCGACTGCGTTGAGGGGATTTGGCGGGGAAGCAGCCTTGTACGGAGAAACGTTACCTCCCGCTCGTCCCAAGATTATGTTGCTCTCGTCGGTAGTATTGCTCGTGCTTACCCCGACTACGTCGGCATCCCTGCGAATGTTAACAAGAACAAGAGATCATAAGGAAGCAAAAGACACGGTGTGGAGTGCTAGACCTCATATATGTACACGCGTAAGTACAGTGACACGTAATGAGTCGCTGAGCGCCTGTCTTTAGGCTGGTGTCCGCTACAGGTGAAATCACCAATGCTTCCGCTCTGTCTGGCAGCGCCGTCGTTGTGACCAGTGTTGCCAGTGTACACTTCCCCGGTCGCCGCTCAAGGTACCACTCCGGTCGCCTCTCCATTCATTCGAAAAATGCTCACTAGATGGAGCACCCTCAACCAAGGCGCTTGAATTCGAACTGGCACAGTGGATGGAAGTGTTTTTTTGAGCGCTCCCGATCGACTGCGCAGATTAGCGGCTTTGCATGTTTCGAGCTTGCTTTTTTAATTAATAATGCAGCAGTTTAAACATTTTTAGCGCTTATTACATTGTACGGCTCTTTTGGGGGTTAATCACCAGGTATTTACTTGTTTGTGTGTGTGTGTTGTTTGTTTGTGTTTTTTCTCTTGCCAACCCATGGGGGAGGTGCACGTACACCAAACACGCAACTTTTCTAGTACAGCTTAGACTTTCTTCTTTTCGTAGGGCAGGATTCGTCGTACGCCGTGTTTTGTAATTATGGAGTGAGACAATACATAAGGAATATTGGTGTCGAAAAAGGCATGGTTAAAAAGACTGTAAAATGTTCAAGGGTCGGGGTGGGTTGGAACTTAGGCAGAAGTGCAGATGTGCATGAACAGGAGGCTGATGCCAAGTGTAGGCAATGTTAGGTCAAGGAAAAAATAGAGAAAAGGATGTTGCCAAGAGTGAACTGCTGATGAGAATCACCGAGCTGGAGACTTCATTGGCGACAGAGCAAGAAAAACGAGGGATATGGGAGAAAGGCTCAAGTCCGCCCAGGAGGCACTAGCGAAGGTGAACAAAGAAGCGGCTGAGGGAAGTGAGCGCAAAACTCAAAACTACAGCTGATGGACGAAACATCGTGGTAATTGCAGGTGGTTTAAACGATATCTTAAATGAAGATATGGCAGGACTAGCGACAAGACTGGTGAAAGGGGTCGATGACATGCGCACAATTTCTCCTCAGGTACAAGTAGCGATATGCACAATACCGGAGGTACCCGTGCGCGTGACAGCAACCTGCAAAGAGCGGTTGTCAACACAACCTAAGAGATATGGCAGATGAGTCGAGAGAATCGCTTTGAGATGGTGGAAATAAACGGAGAGGTGCATAGGTGGGGTGATTTTCAACGAAATGGAATTCACTTCGATTGGCAGCTAGGTCATGAGGTGGGTCGGCGACTTGCAGGGCACGCAGTAGCTTTTTTGGGGGGCAAGCGGGCCCTTCGGAGTGCAGGATAGCTAGTAACGAGGAAAAAAACCAGGGGGACTCTTTGACAGGTGGTATAGACAGACACAATTCCAAAGTGGCACCAATATCTAAGACACATAGAGTCCGGAGCAGAATTCGACGTAGCCACGAGAGCTGATGCAAGTCAGATGTAGGGTATATTAATATGCAGGGTGGCAGGAATAGACTGAAGTGGGAATAGATAGAAGAACAGCTAAGGGAGGAGATGCCGATGGTATATGGTTTTGTAGAAACACATCTTAGAGACAAGGAACAACTGCCTAAGAATCTGGACTACGCATGGCAATATTGTAATAGAAGAGAAGGCAGCGGAAAGGGGGGTGGTATGAGGGCATTCATTCATAAAAGTACAGACTGGTAAAGGGTCAAGAAGAGTGCAAGGAGCATCTATGGCTAAAAGAGAAAGTGGCAGGGCAAATGATGCTGATTGGTTTTGTATACTTGTGGACAGGGGCAAAAAACAGAAAGGACAATCAACAAATGCTCAACGAAGTGAAAAAACAGCGCGTAACATAGGACACAGGACAGAGAAGAGACGGACGAGGCGCTGACTTACAACCAAAATTTATTTCGTACAGGGGTGTATATATAGCACACGAAACTTGAAAAAAGAGGGAGAGAAGTCGAGTGACATGAAAGAGTAATTTTTGTTATGATTGTATGCGTATAACAAATAAACTGTGATTGCGCAATCATTCGCTTGTCAAATACGCCAATTCCCTGGTGAGGAGCGTTATCGAAGGTGCACTGACACACATATCGCCTTTCTTGATTATGCAGAATGCCTCATAAATCTCACGTGTCCTTTTATCTCTGTAGCGTCGAAGTATCTTGCATTTGTCAAACAATGCACGGCATCCACAAATGGAGCTGTGCGCAGCTAAGTGGCTGCCAACAGAACCCCGCATTAGATTGCGGTGTTCCCTGAGGCGGTCATTTATACAGCGGCCAGAATGCCCGATGTAACAGCGGCCGCAAGAGAGGGGAATTTCATAAATGGCACAAAAACAACATTCAACAAACTTGATTGCGTGTTTTTTATCACACACGCGAGGCCCTCTGTCCTCTCTGTTCACCTGATGGCACATACTAGAGAACTTATTTCTGGCTGAAAAAACAACTCTGATTCCAGCTTTTTGTGCTACCTTTTTTAAACAATGTGACACCTTATGCAAGTAAGGAATGACTGCTGTTCTTGAAAAAGAACTTTTTTCTTGACCACTAGTCGGTTCGGTTAGCTGTTTGATGTCTTTTAAGATACTTTCAGCTATGGAACACAGTATGTTATTCGGGTACCCTGCCTTGCGCAATCTGCGCACCTGTGACTCAAAACTAGTACACAATGTGTGATGGCAAGACCGCATCAGGGCCGCCTTTAGACAGGATTTTGCAATCGCTCGCTTTACAAGTTTTGAATGCGCAGAACTGTAGGGTAGCAAACTTTTTTTGGAGCGGGGGGCATACTGCCAGCACACGTGGTCGGACAAAAAAACTTCAATGTCAAGGAACCGGAGTTTGTTAGCAATGGGGAATTCAGTGGTTAGTTGCAGTGAGCCCAAGCAAGTGCGAAACACATCAACAATTTGATCAGCACGTTGCTGAGCTTCAGAGTGGTTGGACCGGTACAAAATCAAGAAGTCATCAACAAATCTAAACACTTTCACGGCGCTCGTCAGTTGTAGGCAATTAATGAGAGATCTGTCATATTTGGCTAAAAGAATGTCACTTAGGATCGGGGCGAGACAGGAACCTATGCAAACACCTTCTTTTTGAATATAAAGTTTGTCATCATGCTTTATAAATGTAGAACGTAAATAAAAGGTTAACATTTCTAAAAAGTTTCTGACGCTAATTCCGCACGAGTCCTGAAATTTGACGTTCCCATAGCGGTCTATGCAGTCGCTCACCTCTGCGCACACCTGGTCCATCGGCAGGGAATAGTATAAGTCTTTTACGTCCACAGAAAAGAAGCTCACTTCTGAAGGGCACTCTTGTTGAAGAAATTCGGATACTATTTGAGGCTTTCTGATGAGGCAAGGGTCTTCCACAGGAAGGACAGATAGGGAACGCTGCAGGTACCTTCCCACCAGGCGCTGCCATGTGCCCTGTTCCGAGACAATGACGCGGAAGGGAACTTCCGGCTTGTGCGTCTTTGCTGAAAAGAACACTGAAAGGTTCACACCCCTCGCTGCTCTCACTGATGACGCCAGTTTTTGAAGGCCAGCCTCTTCACAAAGTTTGCTAGCTGTTGCCTTGACCTTGGAAGGTTTTACATTCGCGACTTGGAAGTTTTCGGTGACAGCAGCGTCCGCCTTTTCTTTGTAGACGGTTGTCGGGGCAAGGACAAAACCGCCTTCTTTGTCCGCCTGAAGGAGCTTGAGATCTGCAGCGCGTAGCGACTTAATCACGGAAGGCTGACGTGATGCTCCGGTTTGCTTTGTTGGCAACAAACAATCCACGCCTTCTTGAATGCACCTGTCTCTATTATCAACAGAGGCTCGTGCCGCCGTGCTCCTTACTAAGCTCAAAAGCTCTACTTGGTCCAATTTTGGTGGCTCGCAAAATTTTGGGCCCTTTTCCAATGCGCTTTTTACTCCAGGAGGGATGCTTGCGTTCCCTAGAGTCACAACTTCTTGTCCAGATTGGCATGTTTGCTTCTTTCTTCTTGGCAGGCTGGCAAATATCATCTTCCAAAGAAAATCCGCTGTCCGGGATGCAATACCCAGGTCTCTGCGGTAGGCCCTCAGAGCACTGTTTTGCGATGCATTTCCCATGCTTGCAGCATATAGGCAGTCCGAGTAGAACCGCACTTGTCGCCAGGCCTCCGACCGGAAGATTCGGCATATTCTGTCAGCATGACCCTTTGATGGCGCTAAACCACCAAAAGGTTGAAGAACATCTGGAGGCAGAGACGAATTCTTCAAGGCGAACGTATAAAGACGAGTCCTGCAGATCGCAGTAGCCAGCAGGTTTATACACACAACGGAAGAGCGGAGAAAGGGGTAGGATATAACAGAGCCCGATGTATTAGAAATGAACTGTACTAAAGTGCTTATTTGGGCCGGTTGGTACATGGTCAACGAAGTGAAAAAACAGCGCGTAACATAGGACACAGGACAGAGAAGAGACGGACGAGGCGCTGACTTACAACCAAATTTATTTCGTACAGGGGTGTATATATAGCACACGAAACTTGAAAAAAGAGGGAGAGAAGTCGAGTGACATGAAAGAGTAATTTTTGTTATGATTGTATGCGTATAACAAATAAACTGTGATTGCGCAATCATTCGCTTGTCAAATACGCCAATTCCCTGGTGAGGAGCGTTATCGAAGGTGCACTGACACACATATCGCCTTTCTTGATTATGCAGAATGCCTCATAAATCTCACGTGTCCTTTTATCTCTGTAGCGTCGAAGTATCTTGCATTTGTCAAACAATGCACGGCATCCACAAATGGAGCTGTGCGCAGCTAAGTGGCTGCCAACAGAACCCCGCATTAGATTGCGGTGTTCCCTGAGGCGGTCATTTATACAGCGGCCAGAATGCCCGATGTAACAGCGGCCGCAAGAGAGGGGAATTTCATAAATGGCACAAAAACAACATTCAACAAACTTGATTGCGTGTTTTTTATCACACACGCGAGGCCCTCTGTCCTCTCTGTTCACCTGATGGCACATACTAGAGAACTTATTTCTGGCTGAAAAAACAACTCTGATTCCAGCTTTTTGTGCTACCTTTTTTAAACAATGTGACACCTTATGCAAGTAAGGAATGACTGCTGTTCTTGAAAAAGAACTTTTTTCTTGACCACTAGTCGGTTCGGTTAGCTGTTTGATGTCTTTTAAGATACTTTCAGCTATGGAACACAGTATGTTATTCGGGTACCCTGCCTTGCGCAATCTGCGCACCTGTGACTCAAAACTAGTACACAATGTGTGATGGCAAGACCGCATCAGGGCCGCCTTTAGACAGGATTTTGCAATCGCTCGCTTTACAAGTTTTGAATGCGCAGAACTGTAGGGTAGCAAACTTTTTTTGGAGCGGGGGGCATACTGCCAGCACACGTGGTCGGACAAAAAAACTTCAATGTCAAGGAACCGGAGTTTGTTAGCAATGGGGAATTCAGTGGTTAGTTGCAGTGAGCCCAAGCAAGTGCGAAACACATCAACAATTTGATCAGCACGTTGCTGAGCTTCAGAGTGGTTGGACCGGTACAAAATCAAGAAGTCATCAACAAATCTAAACACTTTCACGGCGCTCGTCAGTTGTAGGCAATTAATGAGAGATCTGTCATATTTGGCTAAAAGAATGTCACTTAGGATCGGGGCGAGACAGGAACCTATGCAAACACCTTCTTTTTGAATATAAAGTTTGTCATCATGCTTTATAAATGTAGAACGTAAATAAGAGGTTAACATTTCTAAAAAGTTTCTGACGCTAATTCCGCACGAGTCCTGAAATTTGACGTTCCCATAGCGGTCTATGCAGTCGCTCACCTCTGCGCACACCTGGTCCATCGGCAGGGAATAGTATAAGTCTTTTACGTCCACAGAAAAGAAGCTCACTTCTGAAGGGCACTCTTGTTGAAGAAATTCGGATACTATTTGAGGCTTTCTGATGAGGCAAGGGTCTTCCACAGGAAGGACAGATAGGGAACGCTGCAGGTACCTTCCCACCAGGCGCTGCCATGTGCCCTGTTCCGAGACAATGACGCGGAAGGGAACTTCCGGCTTGTGCGTCTTTGCTGAAAAGAACACTGAAAGGTTCACACCCCTCGCTGCTCTCACTGATGACGCCAGTTTTTGAAGGCCAGCCTCTTCACAAAGTTTGCTAGCTGTTGCCTTGACCTTGGAAGGTTTTACATTCGCGACTTGGAAGTTTTCGGTGACAGCAGCGTCCGCCTTTTCTTTGTAGACGGTTGTCGGGGCAAGGACAAAACCGCCTTCTTTGTCCGCCTGAAGGAGCTTGAGATCTGCAGCGCGTAGCGACTTAATCACGGAAGGCTGACGTGATGCTCCGGTTTGCTTTGTTGGCAACAAACAATCCACGCCTTCTTGAATGCACCTGTCTCTATTATCAACAGAGGCTCGTGCCGCCGTGCTCCTTACTAAGCTCAAAAGCTCTACTTGGTCCAATTTTGGTGGCTCGCAAAATTTTGGGCCCTTTTCCAAATCCGGACAGCGGATTTTCTTTGGAAGATGATATTTGCCAGCCTGCCAAGAAGAAAGAAGCAAACATGCCAATCTGGACAAGAAGTTGTGACTCTAGGGAACGCAAGCATCCCTCCTGGAGTAAAAAGCGCATTGGAAAAGGGCCCAAAATTTTGCGAGCCACCAAAATTGGACCAAGTAGAGCTTTTGAGCTTAGTAAGGAGCACGGCGGCACGAGCCTCTGTTGATAATAGAGACAGGTGCATTCAAGAAGGCGTGGATTGTTTGTTGCCAACAAAGCAAACCGGAGCATCACGTCAGCCTTCCGTGATTAAGTCGCTACGCGCTGCAGATCTCAAGCTCCTTCAGGCGGACAAAGAAGGCGGTTTTGTCCTTGCCCCGACAACCGTCTACAAAGAAAAGGCGGACGCTGCTGTCACCGAAAACTTCCAAGTCGCGAATGTAAAACCTTCCAAGGTCAAGGCAACAGCTAGCAAACTTTGTGAAGAGGCTGGCCTTCAAAAACTGGCGTCATCAGTGAGAGCAGCGAGGGGTGTGAACCTTTCAGTGTTCTTTTCAGCAAAGACGCACAAGCCGGAAGTTCCCTTCCGCGTCATTGTCTCGGAACAGGGCACATGGCAGCGCCTGGTGGGAAGGTACCTGCAGCGTTCCCTATCTGTCCTTCCTGTGGAAGACCCTTGCCTCATCAGAAAGCCTCAAATAGTATCCGAATTTCTTCAACAAGAGTGCCCTTCAGAAGTGAGCTTCTTTTCTGTGGACGTAAAAGACTTATACTATTCCCTGCCGATGGACCAGGTGTGCGCAGAGGTGAGCGACTGCATAGACCGCTATGGGAACGTCAAATTTCAGGACTCGTGCGGAATTAGCGTCAGAAACTTTTTAGAAATGTTAACCTTTTATTTACGTTCTACATTTATAAAGCATGATGACAAACTTTATATTCAAAAAGAAGGTGTTTGCATAGGTTCCTGTCTCGCCCCGATCCTAAGTGACATTCTTTTAGCCAAATATGACAGATCTCTCATTAATTGCCTACAACTGACGAGCGCCGTGAAAGTGTTTAGATTTGTTGATGACTTCTTGATTTTGTACCGGTCCAACCACTCTGAAGCTCAGCAACGTGCTGATCAAATTGTTGATGTGTTTCGCACTTGCTTGGGCTCACTGCAACTAACCACTGAATTCCCCATTGCTAACAAACTCCGGTTCCTTGACATTGAAGTTTTTTTGTCCGACCACGTGTGCTGGCAGTATGCCCCCCGCTCCAAAAAAAGTTTGCTACCCTACAGTTCTGCGCATTCAAAACTTGTAAAGCGAGCGATTGCAAAATCCTGTCTAAAGGCGGCCCTGATGCGGTCTTGCCATCACACATTGTGTACTAGTTTTGAGTCACAGGTGCGCAGATTGCGCAAGGCAGGGTACCCGAATAACATACTGTGTTCCATAGCTGAAAGTATCTTAAAAGACATCAAACAGCTAACCGAACCGACTAGTGGTCAAGAAAAAAGTTCTTTTTCAAGAACAGCAGTCATTCCTTACTTGCATAAGGTGTCACATTGTTTAAAAAAGGTAGCACAAAAAGCTGGAATCAGAGTTGTTTTTTCAGCCAGAAATAAGTTCTCTAGTATGTGCCATCAGGTGAACAGAGAGGACAGAGGGCCTCGCGTGTGTGATAAAAAACACGCAATCAAGTTTGTTGAATGTTGTTTTTGTGCCATTTATGAAATTCCCCTCTCTTGCGGCCGCTGTTACATCGGGCATTCTGGCCGCTGTATAAATGACCGCCTCAGGGAACACCGCAATCTAATGCGGGGTTCTGTTGGCAGCCACTTAGCTGCGCACAGCTCCATATTGTGGATGCCGTGGCATTGTTTGACAAATGCAAGATACTTCGACGCTACAGAGATAAAAGGACACGTGAGATTTATGAGGCATTCGCATAATCAAGAAAGGCGATATGTGTGTCAGTGCACCTTCGATAACGCTCCTCACAGGGAATTGGCGTATATTGACAAGCGAATGATTGCGCAATCACAGTTTATTTGTTATCCGCATACAATCATAACAAAAAATTACTCTTTCATGTCACTCGACTTCTCTCCCTCTTTTTTCAAGTTTCGTGTGCTATATATACACCCCTGTACGAAATAATTTTGGTTGTAAGTCAGCGCCTCGTCCGGTCTCTTCTCTGTCCTGTGTCCCTGTGTTACGCGCTGTTTTTTCACTTCGTTGGACCATGTACCACCCGGCCCCAAATAAGCACTTTAGTAAGCAGTTCTTTCTAATACATCGGGCTCTGTTTATCCACCCCTTTCTCCGCTTCTTCCGTTGTGTGTATAAACCTGCTGGCTACTGCGATCTGGCAGGACTCGTCTTTATCGTTCGCCTTGAAGAATTACGTCTCTGCCTCCATTGTTTCTTCCGTTTTGGTGGTTTAGCGCCATCAAAGGTCCATTCTGCCAGAATATCCGAATCCTTCCGTCGGAGCCTGGCGACAGTGCGTTCTACTCGGACTGCATATATGCCGAATCTTCCGGTCGGAGGCCTGGCGACAAGTGCGGTTCTACTCGGACTGCCTATATGCTGCAAGCATGGGAAATGCATCGCAAAACAGTGCTCTGAGGGCCTACCGCAGAGACCTGGGTATTGCATCCCGGACAGCGGATTTTCTTTGGAAGATGATATTTGCCAGCCTGCCAAGAAGAAAGAAGCAAACATGCCAATCTGGACAAGAAGTTGTGACTCTAGGGAACGCAAGCATCCCTCCTGGAGTAAAAAGCGCATTGGAAAAGGGCCCAAAATTTTGCGAGCCACCAAAATTGGACCAAGTAGAGCTTTTGAGCTTAGTAAGGAGCACGGCGGCACGAGCCTCTGTTGATAATAGAGACAGGTGCATTCAAGAAGGCGTGGATTGTTTGTTGCCAACAAAGCAAACCGGAGCATCACGTCAGCCTTCCGTGATTAAGTCGCTACGCGCTGCAGATCTCAAGCTCCTTCAGGCGGACAAAGAAGGCGGTTTTGTCCTTGCCCCGACAACCGTCTACAAAGAAAAGGCGGACGCTGCTGTCACCGAAAACTTCCAAGTCGCGAATGTAAAACCTTCCAAGGTCAAGGCAACAGCTAGCAAACTTTGTGAAGAGGCTGGCCTTCAAAAACTGGCGTCATCAGTGAGAGCAGCGAGGGGTGTGAACCTTTCAGTGTTCTTTTCAGCAAAGACGCACAAGCCGGAAGTTCCCTTCCGCGTCATTGTCTCGGAACAGGGCACATGGCAGCGCCTGGTGGGAAGGTACCTGCAGCGTTCCCTATCTGTCCTTCCTGTGGAAGACCCTTGCCTCATCAGAAAGCCTCAAATAGTATCCGAATTTCTTCAACAAGAGTGCCCTTCAGAAGTGAGCTTCTTTTCTGTGGACGTAAAAGACTTATACTATTCCCTGCCGATGGACCAGGTGTGCGCAGAGGTGAGCGACTGCATAGACCGCTATGGGAACGTCAAATTTCAGGACTCGTGCGGAATTAGCGTCAGAAACTTTTTAGAAATGTTAACCTTTTATTTACGTTCTACATTTATAAAGCATGATGACAAACTTTATATTCAAAAAGAAGGTGTTTGCATAGGTTCCTGTCTCGCCCCGATCCTAAGTGACATTCTTTTAGCCAAATATGACAGATCTCTCATTAATTGCCTACAACTGACGAGCGCCGTGAAAGTGTTTAGATTTGTTGATGACTTCTTGATTTTGTACCGGTCCAACCACTCTGAAGCTCAGCAACGTGCTGATCAAATTGTTGATGTGTTTCGCACTTGCTTGGGCTCACTGCAACTAACCACTGAATTCCCCATTGCTAACAAACTCCGGTTCCTTGACATTGAAGTTTTTTTGTCCGACCACGTGTGCTGGCAGTATGCCCCCCGCTCCAAAAAAAGTTTGCTACCCTACAGTTCTGCGCATTCAAAACTTGTAAAGCGAGCGATTGCAAAATCTTGTCTAAAGGCGGCCCTGATGCGGTCTTGCCATCACACATTGTGTACTAGTTTTGAGTCACAGGTGCGCAGATTGCGCAAGGCAGGGTACCCGAATAACATACTGTGTTCCATAGCTGAAAGTATCTTAAAAGACATCAAACAGCTAACCGAACCGACTAGTGGTCAAGAAAAAAGTTCTTTTTCAAGAACAGCAGTCATTCCTTACTTGCATAAGGTGTCACATTGTTTAAAAAAGGTAGCACAAAAAGCTGGAATCAGAGTTGTTTTTTCAGCCAGAAATAAGTTCTCTAGTATGTGCCATCAGGTGAACAGAGAGGACAGAGGGCCTCGCGTGTGTGATAAAAAACACGCAATCAAGTTTGTTGAATGTTGTTTTTGTGCCATTTATGAAATTCCCCTCTCTTGCGGCCGCTGTTACATCGGGCATTCTGGCCGCTGTATAAATGACCGCCTCAGGGAACACCGCAATCTAATGCGGGGTTCTGTTGGCAGCCACTTAGCTGCGCACAGCTCCATTTGTGGATGCCGTGCATTGTTTGACAAATGCAAGATACTTCGACGCTACAGAGATAAAAGGACACGTGAGATTTATGAGGCATTCTGCATAATCAAGAAAGGCGATATGTGTGTCAGTGCACCTTCGATAACGCTCCTCACCAGGGAATTGGCGTATTTGACAAGCGAATGATTGCGCAATCACAGTTTATTTGTTATACGCATACAATCATAACAAAAATTACTCTTTCATGTCACTCGACTTCTCTCCCTCTTTTTTCAAGTTTCGTGTGCTATATATACACCCCTGTACGAAATAAATTTTGGTTGTAAGTCAGCGCCTCGTCCGTCTCTTCTCTGTCCTGTGTCCTATGTTACGCGCTGTTTTTTCACTTCGTTGACCATGTACCAACCGGCCCAAATAAGCACTTTAGTACAACAAATGCTGTAGTGCATAGGAAATGATATTGCTACATGCATGTATACTGGCCTTAGTGTGGCGACCGAAATTCCTTGGGGTAGCACTTGTTTTATGAAACCAAAATTGATAACAGGTAAATATGTTCGGTTAGAGGCTATGCTTACGACAGAGTGTGGGACAGTAATGTCACGCGCCAGGAGAACATCAGTAATCGGCGTCACGATATAATCACCGTCATACCGTCTCCTGGAGTACCGACCAGTGAATATGCCATGGACGCTATCACTCGGGCCGCTCACGCACGCGAAATCACCCGTACTCGCCTTCTGACCTCTCAAGAGAAGCAACGGCGCTTGTATGACCAACGACACCGCGACGTACACTTTCCACCCGGTTCTTTGGTACTGCTCTGGTCTCCGACCCGTCAAGTTGGCTTGTCAGAAAAACTGCTTACTCGCTACACAGGCCCATACCGTGTCCTCCGTGTGGTTATGCCTGTAACATATAAAATTGGTCCTGCCACCCCATTGCCTTCATGTGCCCAACAGGCTACCGATATTGTACATGTTGCGCGCTTGAAGCCCTACAACTCTCCTAGTGACGTTGACATCTAAATGCGCCGAGACGGCGCTTGCGCCGCCGGGGGTTATGCTACATGCATGTATACTGATATTCTAGGGGGCGACGTGCGTGTGTGCCTGACGAGGAAGACGAAGGGTTGTCTCCGCTCGATCGCTGGTGAACCGGGCACGCCATTACCGCTGGTTTGGAATATATCTAATCCCCAGCCTCGTCGTTACGGCGTCTCTTCTTTTCCGTAACAATATTGACAATCAAGGAAAAGAATGCGAGTTAATTGTATAATGAGATATAAATGCGCACATAGAAGATATGAAAGAATATACTAACCCAACAGGCACAATCTAATGATATGTGTGAAAAGCATGATTTAATCATTTGCAAGAGCACCGAGAAATGCGAATGGCAGATAACTTGAGAGGTTGGAAGGCTGCAGTCGATGATAGATTACGCAATAATGTCACATAGGATGTATGATCGGCTAAGGGTGATAAACATAGATGAATGTGGGTCCAGAAGCTTAGGTAGTGATCACAGACGTATCAAGCTGACTTTTGGCAGAGAAATGAAATTGGAAAGGTGGCATTACGAGCAAACACCCGATAATATTTATTCAAAAAAGCAAATAGAAATAGCAAATAAAGAGTTGAGAAAGTAATCACCGAGGATACTAAAACAAAGTGGGCGTACACAAATCTAACTCGATTGTTTCAGTTATAGCTTTCTAAGGTACGAGTCAAATCAACCGGGAAAAGGAGACACAAACCCAAGAGCTGGTGGGATGAGTAAGTTAACGGAGCTACACTAAGATGTCAGTAAGCCTCCAGAGAACACAGGTAAGCTAAATAGAGAGGTGAACTGGAATACAATTTCAAAAAAAATGGTATAACTTTTTGAGCTGCTGAAGGAAAGCGTGCGATTTTTCAGGGACAAGATTAGAAGAAAGCGGGCCCAATGAATGGCGGAAGTAAACAAAAAAAATAGAAAGGCAGCTGCAAAGTTTTGAAACCATGCCAATTTTCTGAGTAATAAGGCAAGCATGAAACAGAGGTTAATAACCACAGTTCAAGGAGTCAGGCTAGAAGGGGATGAGGCAATTTAATATATAAAAACAATGGCAGAAAAATTTAAACACCGAGAAAACGCTGCATGCACCGTACCAGATGTGGGTGGACCACTCAGCTTAGTGGCTCCGCTGGGACAACAAGAGTAGGAAAGGGCAGATAAAAGGGTTCCGAATAGCTCATCAACAGGCCCTGACGGCATGCCGATCATGGCAATAAAGAAACTAGGACCAAACTTTAAGCAAACGTTAAGAGATGCAGCGAGAAAAGCAATAGTCAATGGTGAAGCTCCAAGTGGGTGGAAACTAACCAAGATCTCTAACGGAAACTAACGGAGATGAGCATGATCTCTAAAGGAAAGAGGGGTAAAATCGATATAAACAACTGTCATCCTTTAACAGTGACATCAGTAGTTTACCGGCTTATGATGCAGATAGTAAAAAAAAAAGACTACAGACATGGGTGGAAAATGAGGGGGTTCTGGGAGAACTACAAACTCGGTTCCGTAAACGAAGAAGGTTGGAGGACAATCTGTTTTCATTGATGCGTGTACTCAAGCCGCGAAAAAAGAACACAGGCCCCTGCAGCTGTCATTCCTACATATCAATGGAACTTACGATAGTGTGATTCAAGAAGAATTGTGGGGTATAGTGAACACACTAGATGTGGAAGATGGAATAGCTAATCTTTTAAAGGATATCTATAAAAGTAACAAGATAGTTATCAAATGGGAAGAACAGGTATCTAAACCTATATAGATACAACGCGGGCTTCGACAGAGATGTCTCTTGTCACCTTTGTTATTTATGCTATAACTCCAGGGACTAGAAGCCAAATTAGAGGGGAGTCGACTCGGATTCAGCCTCTCTTTTGCCAAGCAAGGAAAGCACATTGGACAGTCATTACCAGCATTAATGTATGCAGATGATATAGTAATATTAGCTGGCAACAAGTAAGATCTGCAGGGATTGATAGACATCTGTGGTAATGAGACAGATAGGGTAAGTCTGACGTTCAGCAAGCGAAAATTGGCAATCATGATTTTAATGATAACAAAGGCAGTGAGCATAAGATATAGGAAGTCATGCTAGAAATAGCGGATAAATACAAATATCTAGGCGTATAGGTAAATAACAGGGCAGAGTATCTCAGGGAACACGAAACAGAGGTAATGACTAAGGGCACCAGGAATGCGGCTGTAATAAAAAATGGGGCACTGTGGAACTACAACAGGTATGACGTTGTGAGAGGGATTTGGAAAAGTGTTATGATCCCGGATTTGACGTTCGGCAATGCGGTCTTGTGCTTGAAATCAGAAGTTCTAGCAAGATTGGAAATAAACAACGTGGCATAGGTAAGCTTGCTTTGGGAGCACACGAGAATACCCAAAAGCAGGGGGTACAGGGTGACATGGGATGGACATCGTTCGAGTGCACGCAAGCTAGCAGCAAGGCGAAATTTGAGGAGCAATTGAGAAAAATGGGAGAAAAGCATTGACTAGGAAAGTTTTTTGCAACTTGTACTTAAGAATGTTGATACCTAATGGAGGAAGCGAACTCTAAAACTGTCAAGCAAGTTTTTAGATAACAGCAGAATACCAAGCCGAAAGGAAACATCGATTAAGAAGGAGGTGAAGAAAACAGATAGGGACATGTGGAAGATGGAAATGCTTACGAAATCATCACTGGAGACCTACCGAACTTTTAGGCAGGAAATTCCAAGGGAAAGATTGACGACAATTGTCGGGGCAGTCCACTGCTCTTCAAGCCTAGAACGGGTGTATTGCAGACCAACAAGTGCCGAGCAAAACACCAAGACACACAAAAGGTATGTAGTGTGTGTAAAGACAAGGAGGAAACGGCTGAACATTTTATAACGCTCTGTAAAAAGCTCCATCCTATAGTCGAATATAATGACGCCGAATTTTTCAAAGCATTGGGGCTTAGGGACAGTGAAAGCAAAATGCACTGTAACAGGGTAGAAATAACCAGGAGGAGGCTAAGTGGTTGGTGGCTGCAATCGAGGACTGCATGCTTATGTCCTCGTGACTGCGTCCACTTCGTTCTTGTCCCTTCGTAGGCTCGGGAGCACGTGAAAACTTTTTTACGACGAGTGTTACATATAAGTGCGGGTGCGACTGTTCTCGCAACAAATCCTCCGCGCAGGGCGGGGCCTCGCCGCGATGACGTCGCCACCATTATCTTTTTTTTTCTCTCTGTCTCTCTCTCTCTCCGTTTGACGGCGCGGTACGCGGTCGACGCGGTCGCTGTGGTGGCGTGCACTCCACGTGAGCGAGAAGCGTGCAATGTCTCGTTAAGTGGCCGGAAAATCGGAACGCAACGATGAGCGAGCCTCCTGACCGACAGAAGGTGATCGAAAAGTACCTCCAAGGATTACGTCATGACGACGGCTACTCTCATGGCTACCTGAAGTCAGACGAAGAGCTAAAGCTTTTTGAGAGGTCCCTGGCTGCCGTCAACAAGAGGTATGCTGTGCGGACATCAAGAGACCTGAGCAAGTCGTCTAAATGTGAGGATGTCTCGATTGCTTCTTAATGTATTGATCTGCGCGTAGATCTAGCATTGAAACACGCAGTAGCAATTTAAACCAGCTAGGGACACGGCAGTACAGGCTTCTTCTCAGTTGCGGTTATTGGTTTTCGCCTTTTTGAAGTTAGAGTTAGGTATCATTGTTTTCGTTACTGGTTCACAGTTCCCCTAGAACCGATTCATTTCGGTGTGAGTGAAGTATTGTTCGGATTACCGGGACATGACCCGATCTTCAGAGATTCTATAAACGTTATTGGAGCTGTAATTGGCACCTTGTCTGTGTCTGCGTGTTTCTTTGGTCCCCGTTGCTTAGTGCCCCAAAATATTCAGTTTTAACTGAACTGTATTTTTTCAGTTTTAGTCATGATTAGCACCACGCTAGCAAGCTAATTGTGGCAAAGCCGTGCGTGCCATCCGTGGTCCTCCAGGAAGTGTAAATTAGACGTCTAGAGCAAGGCGGCCCTGATGTTGAACGCTGTATATGAGAAGCTGAAGGGTCAGGGTCAAGATTTTTTGCCCAATTATATTAAAATCCCAAGGCCCAACCAACTGTAACGTGTTGGTGCTGCTTGTAAGTTGTAACTTAAAAACCACATGAAAAGTCTGGGTATATATTAATAATAATAATGATAATTATATTCATCATTCTGGTTGACCAAAGCCAGAAATTCTTGCCAGACGAAGCGCATCTTAACGTTTTTTTGCTGCCATTTCACAAAAACTAAAACAAGATTTGATATTGCCCTCTGCCATGCATAAAACTAGGTGCCTTCATTAAATCATCTTTATTGTTTATTTTCAACCAATGTCGTCTTCTCCATGATCCACTGCGGATCTCGAATCTCTCTGGACAATGTGCCGTTCGGAATCGTCAAGGAAACCATCAAAGTGTGCATATTTGGAACGGAGTACTACAAGAAAACTCAGGAGAAAAGAAAAGAACAGGTATGTTACATGGTGATGCACTCCAAAAACTTTCAATCTCATGCACATATCCAGCAGTCTTCCAGTTCAAAGATTGTGTGTAGGCAATGTAAAGAAGATTTACTTTAAGTTACTACAAGTTTACACGAGAAATAAATATTGTTAACTTCATTTACAGAGTTCAAGTACCACTGACTGGCAGAAAGAGGTGTACGAGAAAAAGCGGGTGAACCTCCAAGGCATAAAGAAGAAGGGGTTCGCAGCAACAATGAATTTGAAGTGGATTGAGTTGTACCCAGATTTCCAGGTATGTAATGTGCAATGACAAGTAAAAAATCATTCCAGATTAATTTCTGGGACTTTATTATGTCATTTATGATTGTGCAATCCGACACAACACCGTTCAAGCAGCGCAACAAGATGAGGGCAAAGTAAAGATGAGACAGAAGACAGCGCTCTATATTTCCACCATTGCCAGTATGTATACACGTGGGAAATAGCAAGATAAACAGAGTGTGAAAGATAAAATGAGCACAACGCATACAGTCTCGGCATCTAAGCCAAGACTGTATGCGTTTTGTGCTTTGCGCTCTCATTTTGCTATTTCCCACATGTATATATACTGGCAATAGTGGAAATATGCTTCCAGCTATTAGTTCAGCGCTGTTTTATGTCTCATCTTGACTTCGCCCTCATCTTGTCGCACTTTTTGAAACCATAAAATATGATCTGTGTACTTAACAGTGCCTGCTTTCTAGGTGGATGTGCCCCAGCCATGCGGCAAATTAAGAGAGGGTCGTCTGAAAGCCGACAAAGCCAAGGAGCTGCAGGAGGCACTTGACGCAGAGCAGCAGACTGTGGCCAAAGAGACGCGAGTATATGTTACGATTGCCGACTGCAGTTCCCATCAAAACTATGGTTTCGAGAACATGGAAGCTTTCAGCCAAAACATGGACAAGAGCGTTGCTGAGCGAATTCAGATGTTGGCAAGAGAAGGCATTACTTCTGTATCAGATGTGAAAAGTGCCTTCACTATTATGTGCACGACGTACTTTTTGCGAACAAGGAGAAGCCTGATGGCAGCTGCAGGACCGTTTTCCCAACACTTCGTGACATCAGCAACCAGATCCAAGCTGTGCTTAAGAAAGACCGCCACAGCACAGTTGATCAAGAGAATGCTAGAATCCTAATTGAAAAGATCAGGGGTGAGCAACCCGAATCCTTCGTTGTTTATCGGCCGTATGCAGCACGCAGCTTCGTGGGTAGCAGCGACTCGGACAACGTGGAAGAGGGCGTTGCCAGCGAGTGTGAAGACACGTTGCTGTTTTGCTTCCAAACAAAATTCATGAGTAGCATGCTTAAAAAGTGCGGAGGCTCAGTAGTTTGCCTCGACGCAACGCACAAGACGATTGACTATGCCCTACCACTTTTCTTGCTTGTCGTGAAAACACCGTCGAGATACACACCAGCTGGTGTGTTTATCATACAGTTCGAGACGGCCCACTGTATCGCTGAGGTTTTAGACGTTTTCAAGCAGTGGTGTGACAACTGGTCCCTACAATACTGGATGGTGGATTATAGCAAGGCAGAAATAAGTGCCATCAAGCAAGTGTTTCCAGAGAGTCAAAGCTCTATCTGTGACTTCCATAGACTACAGGCATGGCAGAGGTGGCTTCACAGAAAGGAAAACAACATATCCGATCCAGATAAGGCCCTGAGACTCATGAAA